CACTGCTAAATTAGGGACGGCTAACGCAGATAGCCCTCGTGTAGCTTTGTGCGAAATTCATAACAAACAAACAAACAGTATTTCAGCATTTTTGTTCCTTTTCTTAACCCTAACTGTTTCAGTTTCCTTTTGTTAACCTTTAATGTTAGTTTTGTTTACTCAACCCACAGTATTATAGTTTCCTTTTGTTATACGTATTATTCCAGTTTCCTTTTCTTAACCGTAACTGTTTCAGTTTCCTTTTATTAGCCTTCAATAATTATTTTCAGCCCTCAGTATTTCAACTTGGTTTTCTTACAATCATTATGAAATGACATGTGACTCACATCCACCTTGAATTTAAGTAAACATACGACAGTAAATTAAATATCATTGCATACATGAACAGTTTATGTATATAAAGCTTTACGTTCGTCTTTCAGCGTTGTGGCCGGATTTCACCAGTAGAACAAAAACAGAACCAACATCCCACGCGGGAATACTTAAACTGTGGTTTTATTTACTTAACAAGTTAGCTCGTTTGAGGTGAGAAGTTTATGAAAAAAAGGAAAAAACTTAAACTAAAAATAACTACCTAATGCCTGACACCACAGACGCAACCAAGGCTAGAATGTTGCGGGCGTGGGACCATGAATATTTATGAAGTTCTGGTCTATATCCTTCTCCATGCAATATATATATTCAAACCTTCTATATATTTGAGTTTCATCACTAAATGATCGGAGTATATGATATGACCTCATACAAGGGTAACACCCAAGCACGTGCAAGCAGGAAAAGTAAGAGGAAAACGCTTGAAAAACAATACATGGATAATATGTTCTCAGGGGTGTTTAGATCATAGCAAATTTAAATCTATACTTTGGGATGGGCAGAAGAATTATAAGTACTCGATAAATACATTGTTTATAGGCGAAACTTATCAGAGCTGTACAGGAAGGAAAATCTTAATACATTTTGCCTTTCATTTTTCTTTATTAATTACAGTTAGTAAATATTGCCCCACGGGGTGACAACGGTAAGTTTACTGCCTACAATGTTAAATTCCGGGATTCGATTCTCCTCTGTGGATACAGCAGATAACCCAATGTAGCTATGTTCTAAATCAAACCAACAAATTAAACTAAATTACCAAATAACAATATATCAATTCTAATATATTTCTCAGTTTAAAATAAAGTTGGAATTACCTACCAGTCTTTCTGCTGTTGAGAACACTATGTAAATACACTGTACTTAGAGGTAATGAAAGTGTTATTATGAACATAGGCCTAACCTACTGAATTAACAACAAAACAATGCAATGTAGTTGTTGCTGTTTAAACAAAAAGTTAGTATTTCAGGTACAAACACTACATACAGTACATACTACGTTTTGGTTTGTGTGTGTTTAGGTACAGACACTGCACACAGTAGACACCGTGTTTTGGTTTGTGTGTGTTTAGGTACAGACACCACATACAGTAGACACCGTGTTCTGGTTTGTGTGTTTTAGGTACAGCACTACAACCAGTAAACACCGTGTTTTGGTTTGTGTGTGAGGTACAGCACTACACACAGTAGACACCGTGTTTTGCTTATGTTTATTTTAGGTACATACACTACACACAGTAGACACCGTGTTTTGGTTTGTGTGTGTTTTAGGTACAGCACTACACATAATCCTTACGATTGACGTGTCTCCGCAATTAATGGTCATAGACATATTTTCATAAAATAATATAAATACTTTTTTACTTTATTAATTAAACACTTCAAATAAAATAAATGTAAAAATTGGGCACAGTTGCAATGACAAAAATAGTATTTATTCACAGTTTTATTTCTCTTTTGGTACATCCCATATAACAAAAACTAGGATTGCACTGCAACATGAAATAAATATACAACTACACGAATCGGTCAAGCTGCTAACCTAGTAAATACTCAGTCATGTTGCTAACCTAGTAAATACTCAGTCATGTTGCTAGCCTAGTAAATACTCAGTAAAGTTGCTAATCTAGTAAATACTCAGTCAAGTTGCTAACCTAGTAAATACTCAGTCAAGTTGCTAACCTAGTAAATACTCTGTCAAGATGCTAACCTAGTAAATACTCAGTCAAGTTGCTAACCTAGTAAATACTCAGTCATGTTGCTAACCTAGTAAATACTCAGTAAAGTTGCTAATCTAGTAAATACTCAGTAAAGTTGCTAATCTAGTAAATACTCAGTCAAGTTGCTAACCTAATAAATACTCAGTCAAGTTGCTAACCTAGTAAATACTCAGTCATGTTGCTAACCTAGTAAATACTCAGTCAAGTTGCTAACCTAGTAAATACTCAGTCAAGTTGCTAACCTAGTAAATACTCAGTCAAGTTGCTAACCTAGTAAATACTCAGTCAAGTTGCTAACCTAGTAAATACTCAGTCAAGTTGCTAACCTCAGTAATTAGACAGTTACAACCTGAGACCTAGTTAATGTAAAGTGTAACTTTAAACTAAATTAGATAACAATACACTAATACTAATCTTCCCATACCCACCTCTTGTTATGTGGTTTCTTATATAATACTGGGGTTATATTTTTAAATAATTATGAAAAAGACCCAACTGTAGCGCGTACGTATTTGTTCTTTCAACGAGTAAATAAAGTGTAATATGAGTGCTACAAAAAACTGATAAATGGTTTAAGACTTTCTTAATCAAAAACACAGTTCATAACAAAAATCACTTACATTGAGTGCACACAACAGGTAAAAACACGGATATATATATTTTAACAAAATGAACAAACATTTGCTGATCTACATACGTAAGTAGGGACTGCGTTATACTATATATATATATATATTCGCCCTTTATGCAAATCGTCACAAAGAATTAAGAAAAAAGTATACATTTTGATACGAGCTACTAAGTTTTGAGAACATAAATGGTACATGGAAAATTTTAGGGGGCACGTTCTACTCATCCCTCTCACCTCATTTAGCAGAGATAGGCTAGAGGAAAGGCAGCTATACAATGCCACCCACCGCCAATTTTTGGGCTACTCTGGTATCAACCTTGGGATTGATCGTTACATTATAACGTCCGCACGGCTGAAAGGGCGAGCACGTTCGGTGACTAGGATTCGAACCCGCGACCCAATGTCTGCGAGTCGAACGCCCTAACCTCCAGGTCAAAGTTAGTTAGATTGGCGTAGAATACTACTCAGAAAGTTCTAAAAGGTCTGATGTCAAGTTTTCCAGTAAATTCGAGAGTGGCTTATAAATACAAGATACAAAATTGTTTCATAATAATAGAGTGGTTTCTAGCGGCAGATCCAATTATTTAGTGTTTTCGTTTATTTTGTTTGGCTTCCAGCCTTGGAGTGATACAAGTAAGTTTATTTTTTTACATAAATGTAGCACAGTTATCATTGTTTGTAAACGTGGCCTACATCTGTGTACGGTGCAAGCAGTTTTTAAAAACTTTCAAAAAGAAATATACTAATTGTTACTGTTTACGTGGACTGGACTTTTAGTAATTTTCACCAGATAGTTTAGAATAACCCACCAACCAAAGAACAACAGTATAGGAGATTATGAATAAATTC